TAAAACCAATTTTTCTCAAAATCGAATAATTTTAAATTTAAAAAACATCTATAACTATTAATTATATTCAAAATAGAAATAGAAATGGAAATGGAAGAAATAAAAAATTAATAGAAATAGAGTAAAAATAAGAGTAAAATGAGAGTAAAAATAGAAGGGGAAATTCTTTCCTCTATGAACAATGGTCACTTAAATAAGAAAATGGTTATTATGACAATCAATAATTATTCAAAGTTTTTTTTTACAAACACAGCCTAATGATAGCCTCTTCTTGATTAGTAATTATAATTTATCACTTCATCAGGAAATTTATTAGGCGAAAATTTGCGCAGATTTTCATCACCCGCGCAAATTTGCGCAAGTTTTTTGTGCGGGCTTTTCAGTTTTTTCGACTTCGCTCACGAGTTGCGAGACGTAGAGCGATTTTCTACTAAGCTGTTTCTAAGCTAAAGAGAACAGCCTTGCTCTTAGCTACAAAATGACATGTGTTTCATCCTTGTGACATCGATATTCGCGGAGATCGTCCGGTTTAAAGAAAACATTTGTGTACAAGATTTACGCACATGTCATTTAGAAAATTGCTCTGCCTCGCAACTTGCGAAACAATAGAAAAAGCCCGTACAAAAAAATTGCGCAAATTTGCGCGGATGATGAAAATTTGCCTTATAAAATTTCTTGTACAATTTATTAAATAATTTATTAAAGTTTTTTATTAGCTTGGATTTTTAATAATATTTTAGTAGTACATTTCCTTATGTCGGTTTAGATAAATAAGATATAAGTTTAGTTCTATTTTTTTAAAAGAAAAAATTAACTGATTATCAAGTTACGCAGAACAAACGGAATAACGATAATGATATAAATAATTAATTTTTAAATGGTAAATCAATTACAACCCATAAGCCCAAGGCTTACAAGCTCAATTCGGTAATTCAAGTTTTGCTTATTATTATAAAACTTATACGGATGGTTTTTAGAACATTTAAAACCTTTCTACCTTTCTGTCTTTTATGTGAAAAAAAAAATTAAAATTAAAAAATGATATTATTAAATTCTTTGAGATTTTGAATAATACATTTTTTTTCATGATATAGTAATTAGAGTCCTTAGACACGGTGGAGAATGTTAGTTCAACAAGTTTTTCGTCAAATATTGATAATTATTTTCCCATCCCATCATTAATAATATTTCAATGATTTAAAAAGAAAGAATTTTTATGAAAAATCTCAAACCGGAAAATAATAACAATGTTCTATATATGACACACACTTCACTAGATTAATAATTAATAATTTCTAAGTATTGATTGATTGATTGATTTGATTGATGCGAAATGATAAATGACACAAATCCTAGCGGCATATAAATGATCAACTTTTTGGCGGTGCTACTATTTCTAAATAATCATTGGTAACTTTATCTAAAACATTATTTAATCTTGATAATCTTTCTTTTCCTACTTGTATTTGAGGATTATTTATCGTTTCTTTTAATAGAGATCGAACACTTTCAATTATATTCCAAGGTAAGCAATGAAAAGCTGGTTTCTCCCTGTGTTCCGTAATTTCCTAAAAGAATTTCAAAAAAAAACTCCTTTATTAAGAGTGAGAGAGTGAAAAGGAAAGTAATTTTACCATTACATACCTTTTCCATTAATTCCAAAACAGCTGTCGCGGCATCTGATAATCGACCAAAATCCATTAATATTCTAATATGATCCTCTTGATTATATGTCTTTTATTAAATAATAAATTAATAAATTGATGATATTAGAATTAATATTTAAAAGATGATGATAATAAAAAATAAATAAAGATAATAATAATAATAATAATAATAATAAATCGTTACCTTATAAAAAGATGTTAACCATTCTGGAATACTTGCATAAGCATTAACGGTTAATATAGTTCTTAATACAACAGCTCTATAACGACAAAGTGTTATTTCTTTTTTATCAAATTTATCTAAATATTTTCGTAACATGGCCCAGGCTTTATCATTTTCGGTACCATGTATAACTTGAGTTGTCTCATTATCATTAACCCATTTTATATGATCACTTTCATTTAAAAAAAAAAGAATATTAATAATAATTAAATTAATTAAATTAATTAAATATTTTGGTACTATACAACAGTCTAAAATATATTTTAAATAGTCCTATTTCATATAATTCAACATATATATATATATATATATTTATTTATTTATTTAAAAAAAAAATAATGTAAAATATACCTTGTATCAGAATTCGAATCAAGTGGTAATAAACATTTTCGTGTCATTCTTTCAAAAATGTCATCCAAAGGAATATCAAATAGTTCAGCGATCGAAATTGCCAAATCGAATTTACCAGCATAACTACATAACTTGACTGCATCATGGGATTTGATTGAGGTCACAGCTTTATAATTAAAGATAAATTAAAATAAATAAATAAATAAATAAATTTATATATATATATATATATATATATATAATATTAATATCAATTTATAAATATTTGAATATTTTTTACTTTTTTCAGCAAATTCCCGTCCCAATTCGAGTCTAGCCATTGCAAGAGTGTAAGATTTCTTTAAGTCATTCAATGAAATTAATTCTGTTGAAGCATCATCTAAATAATTTAAATTTAAATTAATTAATTTAAATAAATAAATCAATAAAAAAAATAAAATCAAATTAAATAAATAATAAATTAAATTTACCCTTTGGAATATCTTCATATTTTGTTCTTTTCAATGCCTTTCTCGAATGAAATGAAATTTAAGAATTTAATAATTAATAATTAATTAATAAATAAAGGAATAATAAAATGGACAAATAATAATTAATAAATTACTTACTCGATCACCATCACTAAGTGAAAGAGGTGCAAAATGAAACCAAGCAAGTGAAGGTGGAATTACTTGTTCTAAAGCGTCAATGGCTGAAAGATAACTGGATGCTAAATCAGTCATGGCTTTTTGAAAATTATCAAATGCCAAGCCACTCTTTTCTATTTTTTTGGCGTATTGATATATAATACGTGCAGCTACATAAATAGATAAATAGATAAATAAATAAATAATAAATTATAAGAAAAAATAAATAAATAAATAGTAATAAATAAATAAATATTGATGAATAAATAAATAAGAATTAAATAATAATGATTAAATAATTAATAAAATGTACCATCTCTGAATTCTTTACGAGAAATATAATACGAATAAGTAATCATCGAATAATTAGGTGGTTCGGATGGAATATGATTTCGAGCATGAAATTCAAGAATTTGTTCCATATCCTTCCGAAGATCCAAAAATGGATATTGTTGAAGTTTTATACTTTGTTTTCGTTCACATAATTCTTTTATGAATGGACGAAGATTTGCTTGTTGTCTAAAATATTAAAATAATTCATTATTATTATTATTATTATTATTATTATTATTATTATTATTATTATTATTATTATTATTATTATTATTATAATATATTATCGCTATTATTAACTATATATACTTACGGTGTTGGTCTGGGATTTGTCATCATTGCTTTATATGCTTCATCAAACATTCCTATTTTTAATGCATTACTGAAAATCATTGAACAGAGGTTTGATACCAGATCACAACCTTCCGGACTTTGACGCTAAAAAAATTTAATTTAAAATTAATTAATTTAAATTTATAGTAAAAAATGCATAATATAAAGTTTAATATGAATGTACAGTATAAATAACAAAATATTGTATAATATTATATTAAAAAAAAATGAAAATTACATGTTCATCCTTAAATGATTCCAAAGCGAGTGTACAAAATTTTATTACGTAAAAATGTTGCTGACAATTTAAATAGAGAGTTGCTACATGTCTATAGTAACCAGTTAAATTTCCTGGTAAATAATCTTGTGATGGGATTATTGGATTACTGGTGTAAGGCGGAAGTATCATTTCATTTGCTATATTTAATTAGAAATTAAATAAATTAAATAATAAATAATTAAAAAAAAAATAATAAATAAATAAATTAATTAATAAACAATAAAATAAATAATAAAATAAATAATAAATAAATAATAAATTAAATAATAATAAATAATTAAATAATTAAAATAAATTAAAATAAATTAAAAATAAATTCAAATAAATAATAAATTAAATTAAAAATCATAATAAATTAAAATAATAATAAATTAAAATCATAATAAATTAAAATAATAATAAAATAAATAATAATAATAAATAATAAATATAAAAATACTCACTAAAAGCTGCTCCAGCTCGAATAAATTTTTCAGCTGCTTTATCATATTTACGTTTTTTTAATAATTGTTCACCATGAAGGAATAAACTTGAAGGAGTTTCTAATAAGAATTGAACATATTGTTGAAGATGTTCAATAAATCCCGAAACAAATAATAATCTACCAAATTTTGAATGAGATTTGGTTGACATAATCATTAAATGTGGATTACTATTAGGTAAAAATTCAAATTTATTTAATAATTCTTTAACTCCATTTATGATGACCATGGGTAAATAAGAGATTCGAAAATTTAATAATAAAGGATATTGTTTATGAATAAGTGAATGAAGTAAACTATATCTTAAATCCGGTATTTCGGGAATATCTTTAGAATTAATAATTCCTCCTCCTCCTCCTCCCATACTTAAATCTGAAAACTTTTCAATCATTCCATCTTCTTCTTCTTCCGTCGTTATTAATCTATCCTGTTGTTGTTGTCTTCGTCTATTCGATTGTTTTTGTTTAAGATTAATTGATGATTCGGAATATGCGGATTGTTCAGATACCCATTTAAGAATTATATGTATACAAAGAGTTGACATACTCATTGATACCCTTTGATCTCCTCCATAATTTCCATAATTAGGTTTCGTACAAACCATAAAAATAAGTAAAAGATATAAATTACGAGCTATTGTATAATGTGATTGAATAACATCAGCAGTTGATGATGAAATTAAAGCATCCATAAATATTGTGGTTTTAATTTTTTCCCCGGTAGTTGTAATATTTCCAATATTTCCTATATTTCCAATAATATTATTATGATTATTATCAATATTTCCTATATTATTATTATTATTATTATTATTATTATTATTATTAATATTAATACTACTACTACTATTATTACTACTACTATTACTAATAATACTATTATTACTATTACTTAAATTATTATTATTATTATTGTTGTTATTGTTGCTTCCATCCTTTTCAAATAAAACATCATTCAATGCGGATAAAACTATATGTATAACTAATTCTAATCTATCACATGAATCAAGTAATTTCCATATTCTCGCTTTTAGATTTGGATGTAATCTTGGATTTAAATATAATTCATAAAAATCCATAGAACTTTGTCTTATTGAATTAGAATAAGGTTTACAAAGCGATTTACAAATATCACGTTCGAGTGATAATAAATCAACATCTAAAAATGGGGAAACTATTAAATTCATTGATTTAAAGAATTTAATCATATCTGATGTTTTAACTGTATCTAATTTTGGATAGGCAATACATAATTCATCATTTGATCGAATTAATAAATTTAAAAATTTAAATTCATTACTTGTATAATAATAAAATAATTCTAAAATATCACAAATTCTAATGGTTGATATACTATCTTGTTGAGTTATTGCCAAGAAATGTCCGGATTGAATAATTTTAATACCAAGTGGAAATCTTGCAGATTCTTGAACCTTAATACATAATAATATAAAATGAATCCATTCATTTATCACAAGTTGTTTATAATCATTTTCTAATGGAATATTATTTTCAGGATCATTTTGTAATTGAATATGTTTGCCCACAATTAATTTAACTTTTTGTTTTAAATCATAATCATAATCATGAATTATTGATTTACATTCTGAGTAGAGATCATCACCTTGAATTATAGAAAAATCGATATAATTTAAATATTTTTCTAAAGAATTAATAATTATTGAAGCGGAAAATCTTCCAGGACGAAATATATAATCAGAACAAATTTTAATTGGATCCAATTGTAAATCTGGTAATTGATATAAATAACCTTCATCATGATTTTCGATAGGAGTTTTTATGATAAATTCCCATCTTTTTCCAATAATATCAGAATCATTATTAATTGGATCGGTATCATTATTAATACTTCCAGGTGCATCATAATAAGAGATATAAAAATGAGTATAAGTTAAAGCGGTTTGAAGTTTTCGTTTCCAAAGAGCCCATAATCTCCATTCACGTCTTTTTATTTCTCCTGTTCCATTATTATTATTATTATTATTATTATTATTATTATTATTATTATTATTATTATTATTATTATTATTATTATTATTATGTTTATTATTAATATGATGATGATTATTATTATTATTAATAATGTGATGATGATTATTATTATTAATATGATGATTATGATTATTAATATGATGATGATCACTAATATTATTGTTACTTTCATTATCATTATCATTATCATCATCATCATCATCATCATCATTATTACGATTATTATGATTAATATGATGATGATAATTATTATTATTATTATGATTATTAAAATTCATATGACTATCATAATTGTTATTATAATTGTTATTACTATAATTGTTACTACTATTATTACTATTGTTAATTGTTGTTGTGTCACATATTTCAATTTTATGAGAAGGAGTTAATTCCATATCAATTAAATCATGAAATGGATGATCAACATTTTTTAATTGTTCACAAGGATTTTGATATGAACGTCGAATTAAATTTAATTGTTTTAATCCACCATTTAAATCCAAAAATACTCGATAAATTCCAAAAAATCCATTATTATAAGTAGGAATATAAACTATAAAATCGAATGACATTGAATTCCTTATGGGACTTGATGATAAAACTTTAATATATTTTTTAGGAATTGAAGGTAAAGGATTTAATGGAATATAATCATCCAAATAATAAGAATTTGTTAATAATGAAGATGATAAAGGTAAGGAAGAAGAAGTTTTTGTTGTTGTTGTTGTTGTTGTAATTCCACCTCTAACTCCATCACCTAATATGATTTCATCAGAATCAATTAAATCTGTATCCATCATTTCATCATCTTGTGAAGTAGAAGAAAGTGGATCAATTTCAAGATGTTTATTTGAATTTAATGACCAAACCAAAATATTACGATCTCTACGTAAATATATGACATAAAGATTTGAATCCCCTTGAATATGTGATGCAAATGAAATCGGTTGTTTTAATATTTCATCATTATATGAATGATTATTTTCATCAATAATTAAATTACGTCGAGAAGGAAGAATATAATTCTTTAATTGAGTTAATAATGTGCCCATAAGTTGATTCTCTCGGAAATAATCTAATAAAATTAACGTGATTAATGTGATTAATATTGTGAATTAATGTGATTATTATGATGAATTTGATTAATTAATGTGATGTAATTTATATAAAAATAATTAATGTAAATATTCAATAATAATAATAATAATAATAATAATAAATAATAATTAATATAAATAATTAATATAAATAATAATTAATATAATTAATAATTAATATAATTAATAAATAATAATTACCTTCATTGGTAGATTGATCAGTCACACCACTCAAATTAGTAGAATTGTTAAAATAATGAATCGGTTGATGTTTCAAATATAAAATATTTCCATCTTTAGAACTAATTATAATGTTATCAAAATCAACACAATGCATCATGAATGGTATTTTCCCTTGTAATAAAATTGGTTTATATCTTCTATAAAAATTCATTGAGGATAAACTCTTTTTATTAAAAATTAAATCAAACGGTAAATCCAATCGATATAATATTCCCGAAGATATTAATATCGTACAACGTAAACTACGAGTGGTTGGATCCGTAAAGAATGTTACTTGAGGAAGTATCTTGGCTGAAAATTTAAATCTAACTGGTACATTGGTTGATCCAGGTTGATTAATTGTACTTTCTTGTGAAGGAATTAAAAATTTTCTTAATTCTAAAACTCGACTTGATTCTATAACTCTCCAAATAATATATGAAGTTGGATTTGTTTCCGAATAATAAACTGATCCTTGAGTTGCAAGTATTGATTCCTCATTATCATTATCATTATTATCATTATTATTATTATTGTTGTTGTTGTTGTTAATACCTCTACTACTACTATTATTATTATTATTATTATTATTATCTTCGTTGTTATTATCTTCGTTATTAATATCTTCGTCGTTATTATTGTTATAATTCTCCAAGATCTCGTGCTCTATGGCTTCTCCAATTGAGGTAAAACTCTCAATCGGTACATCGGTGTTTTTATATAAATAACGAGTACTCATCCTGATACTACTACAAAAAATATATTTAAATTTTGAATTTTCTGATTTATTAAATTTATTCGTTTTTCTAATGCTCGTTTTTTTTGCTATTTGGTTTGAATCAAATAATAAGACTTTTGTATAAACGCGAAAATATTATTATTCTCATTTACATCCCTTTTTTTTTGTTTTCATAAAAAAAAAAAAAAAACTAAAAAACTTGCGTAACCAAATCATCATTCAATTACATAATCGATCATTGTCATTTAAAAATTTATTTATTAACTGATTGATTGACCGACTGTTAGAAGAAGAAAGAATTTATTATATTAGATGTTTGTGTGTGTATTAAATTAATAAATATATATAATAATATATTTATAGTATTTATAGTAGATATTCATTAATTTAATAAGGATTATTTTTTTAATTTTATTAATTAATACTTGTAATTTGGAAACGTGAAATTTTACATATATAATAAATATTCTTCTTTCTTATTTCATTTGAATTAAAATTAATTATTTATACATTTTTCAAGATAGTAGATACGATACGATATCAATATGGTATAATTAAATATAATTAAATCATCAAAAAGTACATTTGATTTTGTTTAAATGAATGGTGGTTCGTTGAATGTATACACGTGATAATCTGATTGGACGCGTGATATAATGTGCGGAGTGTAAATTTAATTTATGAAATATGTAAATTAAAATTTTCATTTTCGCGCTTGTAAAATTGATAGTATTTGAATAGTATTTGGTTATAATTAATTGTAATTAATTAATTGTAATTGAATAATAGAAAGATTGTATTTTGAATTTATAGTAATAATAAAATATGGTTAAAGTGAAGTCTCCTGGTCTTGAATCATTTCGGTAGAGTGTTTAAAAAAAAATATCATTATTATATCTGTTGTTTTTTGTTGTCATTATTATCAATTTTTTAATTTAAAGCTTTTCATTTTTTTTTTATAACATATTCAATATTGTGTATTAAATATTTTATTTTCCATATTCTACATTTACTTTACTATTCTAAATTTTGTATAGGCACGCACCAATAACTAGATTTTTCTCTCGTGTTCCAAATAAAAGGTAATAAAAAAATTTATTATAATTATATAATTATCTGAATCTATTTTTTGATATAGATTTATTTTTTTATTTAAATAGTAACGCGACAGAAGATACCAATAATAATAATAATAATAATAATAAGTCAAGATTAATTGTCAAAGATAATAATGATTCATCTAAATCTCAACTTAATGGAAGTAATAATAGTAATCAACAACAGCAACAATTTAGTCGAGATAATTCTTCATTGTCGAATGATAATATTTCATTAAAAAAAGAGAATAGTACAATCAGTCTTCAGGATGATGACGATTATAATATCTTAACACAAAGAATTCCTTCTAAAGTAAAATCATAATATTTATATTATACATATGTTTGCGTGTGCACGAGAGTTGAAATAAATTAATAATTAATTCTTCCTTTCTTTCTTTTTTTCTTTCTTCCTTTCTTTCTTTCTTTTAATTCCTTTAATCATTTAATCATTAATAAAAGCTTTTTGATGATGAAGATGATGATCTTCTTTTGAATAATGATCCTGAGGAGATAACTTTTGCTAAATTATCAAATCAAGATGAAAGGTTAAATTATTAAAGATTATTGATTTTTTGATTTATATTCCATTATGGATATATTTATGGATATATTTATGGATATATTTATGGATATATTTATATGATTATATATTAATTAATAAATTTTCTTTTAAAAATTTAATAGTTCACAAGAAACTCAACCTACTTTACGTAGAAGTACACGTTCACGTCGTGTTGTCTTTCAACAAGATTATGTTCCAACTGTTGATGTGGTACCTCTTCGCGGTGATATTCCAATGAGAGGAGATGAATTAACATCAACAACTCCTTCTTCTATCAACACAGCAAATTTATTTCCTAAACGAACATATCAATTTTCGTTAGCTTCCCTTCTTCGGGAAAAGAAACATCGAGATAAAACGGGATATGATATTAAAGTTTTGGAAAAAGCACTTAAAGAAGATGCCATTAAAGATGAAGTGTGTGAATCTTTATTTCTTAATAATTCTTAATAATTCTTAACAATTTTTAATAATTCTTAATAATTCTTAATAATTCTTAATAATCGTTATTATTGGATGTACAACAATAGATGTTGAATGAATTAGATGATCCTTATGAAAATTATGAAAATTATAATCGTTCAGAGGTTTCCGCCGCCATATTAACTGAAGACATAAAACATGAACAATTACAACAGGTAAGCAATAATAAAGGATAATAATAATAATAATAATAACAATAATAATAATAATAAATGGTAATTATTATTGTCATCATATCTTATTATTAAATTATTTATAATGTAATTATTTTTGTAGATTTTTGAAGAAGATTTTGTAAAAGATTTTGATCATTTCTTAGAATTTTTCGAGACCATTGATCCAGTAAGTAATTTAATTAGATATCATCAAATCATTAATTTTCTTTAATTATTATTATTATTATTATTTACATTATTATTATTATTTACATTATTACTTATTATTACTTGTTAGAATTTACCTCGTCCAATTTTCCAGAAATCTGCTCAAAAGTTAAAAGATAATGAAATTGAAATATTATTATTTAAGGCTTCATCTGGTATTTTTATTATTATTTTATTTATTATTTTATTATTATTATTTTATTATTATTTATAGAAATCTAATCATATAAATGGTATAATATCTATATAGATGATGAGATCCTTAAGGATATTTTATTTTATGATTGGATATCGCAACAATACATGATGGGATTAAACTTACCAAATACCGCAGTTATATGGTTGATCCAATTAGGTGAATATCATATTATTATTTTTTTAATCTTATTTAAGATTTTTAGAGTTTAGAGTTTAGTTTATAGATTATTGATTATTTTTCATTCTTTTTTAGTTAGTTTTGAAAAGGATACGAAAATAGCAGAAGCTGCTTCTCATAATTTGAAACAATTAACGGAAACGGATGATGTAATTTACTTATATTTATTAACTTTATGAATAATAGTTTTAATTAATTAATTAATTAGTAAAACTATTATTCATTATTAGAAGAAACGATTTGGAAATATTACTAAATCTGGAGAAGGAATTAATATTTCATTTACGATAATTTATGAAATCTTAACTTCATACGGTGCATCATCACAAATGTTAGATTTTAAATTTTCAATGGAAGAAAAAGCTCAATCTTTACAATCTTTACCTTCATCTTTAGGTATTCCTATATTTATTTTATATTATATTATATAATTATTTATATATCAAATTTTATAGATTTATTCATTCATTTATTTATTTATTTATTTACTTATTTATAGAGTCATCACCTCAATTACCTCAATTCCCTTATATTTCTAATTTACGATTGTTACTTAAAACAATTGTTCAGTTGAATAAGGCTAGGTGAGCAATAATTAATATGATAATTAATATTATAATGAATTTTATAATTTAAATTTATTTAAGTTATATTTAAGATGTATATCTAATATATTATTTCTATATTTATGTATATAATTTGATTATTTTCAAAAAAAAAAAAAAAAGATGGATATCGTTTTCAAATAACGAAGAAATTAGACGAGCCATCGTCGTTTTTCTTCGTATGTCCTCGGATAATCGAATTAAATCACTTTCATATGAAGTGGAACAAGTCGTTGATTCACTTTTGTATCTTATTCAAAAAGATGAATGGGTTTTACAAGTAAGGATTTATATTCAATATACATTATATTATTATACAATATATTATTATATTTTATATGTTATATGTCAAATCCATTATTTACATATCTATTTATATATTTATATATATACATTACATTTTATATTTATTGTGTTATTTATTTTTATCAAAAAAAAAAAATCAAAGGTAAAGCTCATTTGTGAAGATATAATTTTATCATGTGGAAATGTCACACAATTTAAAATTGATATATTAGAGAATCTTCCAGCTTCTAATCGTGGAAGATTAACTCGAAGATTATTATCTGCATGCTTTTTATTTTCTTCCACCTCCTCCATCACCAGCAAAAAATCTTTCTATGATTTTACTAATGTTAGTATACAATTTATTTTTTTTTTCTATTTTTTTAAAAAAAATTTTGAAAAGGAATATTTTTAACATAAAGTTGTTTCTCGTTTATTTAATAAAAATAGCTTGATGTTTCGAAGCCTTTGACTTTGATGCCACTTATAAATTTATTCAAAGATGGAGAGACAATTTTTAAAGTTAATAGTAATACAGATTATAAAGAATTATATAAAAATACATTGTTATTAGGATATATATTGGATGATGAAGAACAAATGTCAAGTGAAAAGGTAAAAAAAAAAAATTAAATATTTTTACTATTATGTTATGTTGATCAATATTATAAAATAATTGATTATTAACAATTAACATTAACATTTATTATTAAATATATTAAATAGGATACAGTTGAGTTCATAATACAAAAATTAAAATATTTACATGGTAAAATAATTGATATGAGAGCAGCTTTTATGGATAGGACAAAGGTATTTTTTATTATTATTAAATTATAGTTATTATTATTTATTATTTTATATTAAATTTATTCTTATTCTGGAAAAAATAAATAGGCAAAGGATCTAATTCAGCGACTTTATATGCGTCTTTATTACGTGACTTTTCATCGTCGGGGTAAAAAACAATCAAGTATATTACAATATTCACCAAAAACAATTACAACAACAGCAACAACGCAAAAACAAAGAACACTCGATACGTTTGTTGACCAATAAAAAAAGAAAGTATTTTGAACTTATTTCGATGATTATCAAAATATTGTTTTAGAATTTTATTATCAAAATATTTTTTAGAATTTTATTAAATTTTATTATCAAAATATAATTTTTTTTTAGAATTTTAATCATTTTGTTGTTATTCTTTTTTTTTTGGTACAGTAATTCTTTTTTTTTTTCTATCGAGAAAACAATCGAAAAACCAATGAATTGAAAAAAATAATAATTGATGGAAAAATAATAATTTGGTGATAAAAAAAAAATAAATGAATGAAAAAATAAAATGAATGTTAGTAATAATATATCAAAATATCATTCAGGGTTATTCTGTTATTCTTTTTTCTTATATCCGATATCGTTAAACATCATTACAGATTCGTTACATATCATTACATATCATTACATATCATTACGCACGTCCGGAAGTCATCATCATTCATTCTGGTGGCTTCAGGAATCCAATATTACTAATATTACTACCACTACCAGTATTAGTACTATCACCACCACTACTAAACTTGTTATTATCATTAGTTTTTGCTAATTTATGTGATTTCAAATTTGATTCTTTTGATCCTTTATCATCATCATCAACCATTCTTTCCCGTTTCAATCCTTTCCTATTGTTATTATTATTATTACCATTAGTCACTTTTATCAATTGTCCTGGTACTGGTTCTGGTTCCTATTTAAAAATTATTGTATATATATATTTATATATATATATATATTTATATGATGTAAATATTTTTGGTTCATAATAATAATAATAATATTATTATTATTAATATTATTGTTAGAAAATTGCTAAAGTTCACCGATGGTGATTGTCACCACTGGGCAAAATTAAATTTTACGTGATCAGGGAATTATGTAATTTTCCCGGCGGGACAATCACCACTGGTGAGCTATAGCAACACCCTTATTATTAATAGTAATAATATTAATATTAAATTATTAATGGTTAATGATAAATTCTGGTTTACCTTTTTGGCACCAAAAGTCATTCTTCCCTTTTTAACTTCGGAATTTGTAAAGGACAAATAACTTGGCATATACTTTACGTTCATCTTGCTTGATAATATAAATCAAATTTATAATAATCAATAAAAAAAAAAATAAATAATAATTCAAGTTGAAATTAATTCATTTAAAAAAAAAAATTTCCCATATTATCAAGATATTATAATAACTAAAAATATGTATTATTAGTTCGAATGTATTTTTTAAACTCTTACGGTTTCCCGATTTCAACATCCTCATAATGAGCAAACCAATGTACATTGTCATCTTCAAATATAGAAGAATTACTATTAGAACTTTTATCATTCGCTTTTGATACTGCTTCCTTAACAAGAAGTTTTGTTGTCTGACGTTGCATAAACTAGATTCATGATTCCAAGAAAGATTTAAATTTCGTTCATTATTATTATTATTATCATTCATTGTCTTATTATTAATTATATGTCTATAATGATAATTAATAATAAATAATCATAATAAGGATCTAACCTTTAGCTCTAAAAGGTTATCTGATAACTTTGGTTTTTTGGTCACTCGTTCTGCCATTATTTGTTTATTGTTAACTTTGGGTAAATTTTTTATTATTATAGTTGTTTGTTATTATTATTATTATTATTATTATTATTATTATTATTATTATTATTATTATTATTATTATTATGCTCTAAACTAAAAAAAATAAATTCAAATAATAAAATTCAATGTCGATAAGTTTGTTTTTCGATACATGATATACACGATTTACATGTGACTAAAAATCATATTATCTACTAAATCTGTCCTGCAAGGCATCACATCAAATTAAAAAAAGATTAGATAAATTAGATAAATTTGATTATCGGAAATAAATAAAATTATTTTTAATATAAAAATTAATAAAATTAATAAATCGTTGTCAAATGTTGCCAAATAAATCAAAGTTTATATTTTTTTTTAATTTTCATTATTTTTTCGCGAACGATTTTTAACGATTTGAACGATTTGAAAGATTTGAACGATTTGAATATTTTATTAAAAAAAAAAAAATCATATCCTGATTTAAAGTTAATTGTTGTAGTTGTTTTTGTAAAGTTGTTTAACAAATATTAATTAAATTTTTTATGCATGATGCTTATTGATTGGGTAAAAATATCAAGTACGACAAAAAAAAGCCTTGAAACTGGCTTGAAATTCTGGCGGGAATTCTTTTTTTGTAAGGATAAAAGTGTTAAGAATAAGTAAGATGTAGCAGTTAGGGGCTGAAGAATTCTTTTGCTCTTCTTTTTTTTTTAAAAAAAAAAAAAAAAAAAAATTTAAACTGAAAAAATTTAAATTTTAGAAAAGGTAAACAGAATTTGATATCGCATATCGCGAAATTTTTTATATAACATATATATATAATATTATATAATAATATAACGTATATAATATATAAACATATATTTTAAATAAAAATATATATATTATAAAGTCATAAATTTATAAGTGTAAAATGAAAAATACGTGAATTTTTATATTTAATTTTTTTTTTTCAAACAGATGACGGTAGAAACAGGAATAAAACTTACAACTTGGAAAGCCATAAAAAATCCTCCGTATCCTGCTGAAGGTGCTGGAAATCAAACTTTAAATTTTACCCATCTACTCGCAGCAGTTATTGGAATCCCACTCTTTACTGCTTATTACTTTTGTTTGGGTTTTTACACTTGCCTTATCCTCTTTTTCCCCCTTGGAGTATCTGTCTTTGGTTTATTTTTATTTATATCTTCTAGAATTTCTTCCCCTTATAATAACAAAGTACAACTTCCCGGTAAAAAAGTTGAAGAATATTTTAAAGTTAGAGATGAAAATTTGTCAAAATATGTTGGTCGAAACAAAATTCCCATGGAAATATTTTTTGAAAATTATTTTGATGACAAAATTGATCTTTGCGGTGACGCTTTAGAAATTCTTGAAGTTCGTCATGATTGGGCATCTTTTGAAATTGGATTAGGTCAAGCTAAATTTTTCATTACTCAATGGATTCCAGAAACTTTATGGCATTCCAAAAAGCAAGATGAAGATCAAGTACGAGATCATTATGATCGTGGTGATGATTTTTATGAAGCATTTTTAGGTGAAACAATGGTTTATACTTCAGGAATTATTTCAGATCCTAATAAATCCGAAACTTTGGAAGAAATACAAAAGAATAAATTAAAATTTGTTTGTGAGAAAATGAAATTTAAATCGGGAGAACGACATTTAGATATTGGATGTGGATGGGGTACATTAGTTGCTTATGCCGCTAAAAATTATGGAGTTGATTCTACTGGAATAACTTTGGGTAAAAATCAAACAGAATTCGGTAATAACCGAATTAAAGATTATGGTGTTGATTCTGGTCAAGCACGAATTGTTTGTATGGATTATCGTGATATTCCAAGTCGTCCAAAATATAATAAAATTACATGTCTTGAAATGGCTGAACATGTTGGTGTTAGACATTTTTCAACTTTCTTAGCTCAAGTAAGAGATATGTTGGAAGATGATGGAATGTTCTTTTTACAAATTGCTGGTCTTCGTCGGTATGTTTTACTATTTTTTTTTTTTTTTTTTTTTTTTTTTTTAATTGAGTTTTTCATAAAATTAATTAATAAAAAACTAATAAAACTAATAAAACTAATAAAACTAATAAAATTATTTGATATTATAAATAATATTATTTAATTAATTAAAAATAGTACATGGCAATATGAAGATTTCATATGGGGATTGTTTATGGCAAAATATATCTTTCCTGGAGCTGATGCATCTTGTCCATTGAATTGGTTTGTTAATCAATTAGAATGCGCAGGATTTGAAATTTATAATATTGATACCATTGGAGTACATTATTCGGGAACCATTTATCGTTGGTATAAAAATTGGCTTGAAAATAGAGAAAAAATTACTGCTAAATATGGAAAAAGGTATTAATTCGTAATTCATTGTAATTGTTGATCTGTTAATCTGTTAATCTATTGAAATGATTTGCTAATTTGTTGATCTGCTAATCTGTAAATCCGTAAATCCTTGTACTACCAAAGATGGTTCCGGTAATTATTTATTAAGAAATTATTATTATTCATTTATTAATTGTTTATTTATTTATTTATTAATTTAATTTATTATTATTATTATTTTTATTATTATTTATAATAATATATTACAGTATTTGGGAAATCTTTTTGGCCTGGTCAACCATAATTTCTCGTCAAGGAAGTGCCACGTGTTATCAAATTGTGGCTCATAAAAATTTTAATGCATTTGATCGTGCTAGTTTAATTCCACAAAGATTTGTTGCTTAAAATTAACAGATATGTTTATGTAAATAGTTTATATTTATGCATTTCTTTTTGTGTTTATATAAATAAATTTTATACACCAACAACTTAAAATTTAATTCGTGGATAATTATTAATTATTAAATGAATTTTTTTTTTCTATGAAAAAATAGTTTTTTTTTTTAGAGTTCATTTTCTTTCCCCATTTGTTTTGTTTATTTATTAATTTAAAATTCAAACTCATCTCGAAATAGATTAACATCTCCACCATTATTAAGTTTTTCATTTAAATCGTTTCGACCCTATTAATTAAAACAAAAAAAAAATTTACAAAATTTAATAACTTCGTAATAAGTCATGACATTATAATATCTTAATCGTAATATAGGGGAAAAAAAAAATACAAACCATCATTTGAAATGTCCTGTGTAATGTATCTCTAAGGCTAGTACTAACATTTTTCAAACTACCACTTTTTTCTATACCCGTTTGATGCATACTGAGTGCACCAAGTAAATGTTCTGCTGCTTCGTGATAACACCCAATATTTAAACAACTCACTCCTAAATTAAATCGCGCGCGAACAAATGTAGGCTTTAATTCTAATGCTTTATGATATGCTTCAATAGCATCTTCTGGACGACCGGAATTTGCCAAAGTAGCTCCTAACCTATTCCATAATAAATAATCCTAATAATAATAACAATAATAATAATAATAATAATAATAATAATAAAAAGGAATCGATTAATACTCAAAAAAGGTATTAAAAACATATTCAAACGTATTAATAAAATATAATAAAATCAAATAAAAAGAATAATGCTTATATTACATCTTTTCGAGAATTTAATGCAGATACGAAACAATCAACTGCTTTATCATAATTTTCGCTACCGTAAAATAAAACACCTAATCCAACTTGAACGTCGGGATCCATTGCTTGACCTTCTGGTGCATTACGAGCTGCCTGCAAAAATAAGTCAGTAACCCGTTCATGAGTAGTCATAATATTATGCATAGGTGCTGCCCGTGTTACAATATCGGGATATTTGGCAGTTATCCATCTTTCAAGAGTAAGATAAGCTTGTTGATCGTAACTTTCGTTTGTGTAACTAACGGCAAGACTCTTATTATTAAAGAGAAAAATTAATTAATGAAAAGAGAAAATCAATTAAAGAGAAAATTAATTAATGAAAGAATATTTACCATTAAAGCAGGTAAATTATTTCCATCTAACTCAACAGCTTTCTGTAAAGCTCTAATAGCGGCTTCCTCTTTTTCATTCTGTGCCTGTGTATTGCCTAATAATACCCATGCATCAAAATTATTAGGATCCTTTTGAATTGCTGCTTCAAATGCTAAAGCAACCTCAGATAATGTTTCTCCTGATTCCATTAATTTTAATCCTTCTTGCTGAGGATTTTCAGAATTTAAATAATGATTGTCATGTTCAAATTCGTATTCTCCTAATTCCAAAATTTTAAATTTATTATAATCAATATCCCATACTGAAGACAAAATATTATCTTCTTCTTCTTCTTCTTCTTCGGTAATATTATCATTCTTTATTTGTGACCAAATTTTTTCAAATTCATTAAATAATCCACCATCATCTTTCATATTATTACTATCATTAATAATAGTATTATTGTCTGCTTCACGCTGGGCAGCTTCAAATTGTTCTTCCCAAGAAAGAGAATCAATTTCCGTAATTTTTTGTTTTCCCTTTCCTTTATCTCTTTGTTTTAACTCGAAATCGTTAACCCAATTAAAACTTTGATCAAACGCTTCTTCAAATCCTATAGGTATTTCAGTAAATTGAGTATCGTGTATATCCGGATTTTGTAAGAACTCGGAATTCCAATTACCTAAAACACAAAATAATTAAATTAATACCGGATTAATTAAATTAATTTATATTTTAATAATAAAAAAATATTATAAATCATACCGTGCATATTCATATGCTTAAAGGCAAGTTCCATTTCTTCATTTTCTGAAGGTTTCAATTTTAACTTGTTAAATTCATTGTGTACATTATTGAAATCCAAAACCCAATCTATACAATTCATAATCATTGATAAATCAGATAAAACTGCATTTGAGAAAGAAAGAAAGAGAGAGATAAAGAAAGAAAGAGAATAGATATACCTGATACTGCCTTATTAGGAATACGTTGCAAAGATGAATTATCAAAGAACTCTTGGGCAAACTAATTTTTTTAAAAAAAGGTAAAACAAATAAGAACGGAAATATTTTCATTAAATTATATTTCTCATTACTAATAAATAATAACAATCACCTTGTTATCCTGTATACTTATGTCAGGCCTTACTGTACGAAACTTGAATTATTTTTTTCAAAATATTATTAGTTACTCATTAACCCTTTTTTTAATAATAAGAAAACCATAACCGTATGTTAATACTAACCGAACTGCTACCACTTCCGACCCTTTCTGTCCCCGGAATAAATTTATCCTGGTAATTTGATAAATTAATTCGATAAGTTTTAAAATATTATAAAATAATTACGGAATTAACGGATTTTATCTTACCTTTTGATGCGACAGATCGTCATTAAATTGTTTTATAAATTGTGACAAGGGATTTGAATTTGTAGAGCATTCCGCTCCAGTAGCCATACTTTGAAAAGCCATTTTTTAAAAAAATAAAACAAGAGATCGATTTGTGTTAGAACGCTAAAAATTCAGAAGGATAAAGTAAAAAAAAAAAAAAAAATTTTCTATATCAGGGTAATTTGTTTTCAGTTTCACAAATAATTATTAACACACCCAACAAAAATTACAGGGGTTAACCATTCAAATGTAAATTCTATTTATTTTATACGTGATCTGCTCTTACTCATTTGATTCAGTACTTCCCAAATTCCTCCTCCCTAGCCTTTGCATTGGAAAATAAATTCGATGTATGTCATAATGATTATCCAAAATGATAAAACTTTTTGTAAATCTTTATTTTAACAAGAAAGTTTTCCAAATAAATCCGATTTAAGCATATCATTTCTAAAACTGTACTGTACGATTTAATTATATAAAAAGTCTTCATTTAACCAACGTACTGTTTTGTTTTTAACAAATATCAAAAATAAAATATGAACGGAGAAATTGAGAAATTTTCTCGTGAATTACCCAAAATCGTAATATACATAGAAAATTAGACTGTACGGTTATAGTAATATTTAGTAAATGTACTTATATATACTAAAATTATTTAATATTTAGGAATTACATGCTCATTTAAATGGCTCTCTAAGTCCCGAAACATTACAATGTTTAGTTGAGCGTAAAAAAGAAAAGAACCCACATTTGACAAAATTTAAAATTCCCAATCAAAAATTAGAAGTAATTGATGAGTAAGAATTTGTAAAAGTATAAAAAAAAAGTATATGAATAGTTTTAAATTCTATATTTAATTTTATGTTTAACATTTAATTTAATTATTTTAGTTTCTTTAAACTTTTCAAATTTATTTATCAACTTACTGATGACGAAGAAACTGTTGCATATATTACAGAAACCGTAATTCATGATTTTCATAATGATGGAATAAAGTACCTGGAATTAAGAACTACTCCAAGAAGTAATGAAGAGAATGGTAATTATGAATTAAAAACGTTAAGAATCTCATTATGACTTATATAAAAATAATTTCTTTTTTTTTTAATCGAAATCATTTTAGGAATGACACATGAATCATATATTAGAACAGTTATATCAGTTATCAAAAAATTTCCTTCCTCTAAACATGATATTATAGTGAGATTAATCATTAGCATTAATCGTCAAAGCACATTGGAAGATGCGATAAAAAATGTTGATCTTGCATTAAAGTATAAGGAAACTGGTGTGGTTGGAGTTGATCTTTGTGGTGACCCTACTGTAGGCAAAAAAAAAACTAATTAAATTTCGAAAAAGACTTTTTGTGCAGACAAACAACAAAATATTAATATTAATATTAAAAAAAAAAAAAAATTAGAAAGGACATTTTGATAATTTGAAACCTGCTTTCATAAAGGCAAAAGATAATGGATTAAAAGTAACATTACATTTTGGAGAGGTTAGCCGCCCTTTTTTTCATTACAATAATAATTCCATTAATTCACATCACTATTTAAAGAATTTTTATACTTATATAGGTTGAATCAATTATACCGGAACACGCCTCAATGCTTACAATTCCTCCGGACAGGGTTGGACATGCTACACATCTTGATGCAAATTCAAAACGTTACATTTTATTCAATAGACTTCCTATCGAAATGTGTATGACTTCCAATGTTATGTGTAATACTGTAAAGGATTATCAAGAACATCACATTAAAGATTTCTTATATGCTGAACATCCTTGTTGTCTTTGCGTAAGTTGACTAAAAGAAAGAAGGAAAAAAAAATGTTATATAATGAACTATTATTAATACTTGTATATACCATATATATTTATTATTATATTAATAAAAAATTACATTTTATTAATTAATTAATTAGACTGATGATAAAGGTAAATAAAATTTCATTTGTAATTTTTAATAATAATAATATTATTATACTTTGACTAAATTAGAATTAATCAAATTTTCATTATTATAAGGAGTATTTTTCTCAAATCTTTCTACAGAATATTCCATTGCTGCTTCAACATTCTCACTTTCACATCAACAATTATTTGACCTTTCTTATCAATGTATCGACTGCATTTTTGATGGAGATGAGGTTAAAATTCATTTGAAAAAATTATGGAATGATTGGTGGGAATTATGTAAGTCAACCTTAAATACTTTAAATACGAAAGAAGAAATTATGTAATTTATATTAGAATTTATTATTTCATTTTCGGCAATAAATAATTCAAATCTACGTTTCGAATGAATTTTGATATTTAATCAAATTATATACAGCATAATGTATTAAAAATGTATGTTATATTATAACTTAATAATCTCGAATCAGCCTAACACATACAAATATTTTTTAAATATTTATTGGTTGCTTCCGTACTTCATTCATGTTGGTAAAGGAAATTATATTTCTAGGCAATTAAATACATAAAGTCTTTTGATCTTTATTATTATTTCCATTATTATATTCTTCATGTTTGCTGCTATGTTGATACTTGATTAATTGTTTACCATATCTGATAAACTTATCATAATAAGTCACATGAAATAAATTCCGGCTAACCCTTATTAAATCTAAATGACGTTTCGATAACGTGATTATTAATTTGTTAGAAGACAAGATATTATATCTTTGAGAAAAATTGATTTTTTTTTTCCGAGAATTTCTTAACACCAATATCATCACGATAAAATATTTAAGTATTATATGTTTTGTCTTTGTTTATTTCTATAGTTAAAACCTGTTAATTCGAATTTTCACACATTTTAAGCTTCAATAATCCACGTATGTATATAGGCTAAAAACACTAAAAAACATTAAAACAGTTAAAAATATGTTATTCTCTATAAAATGGGCTTATATACTAATTATGGTACTAATTGTACATATGATGGATGGCTGAATATTGTAAAATGCCATAAGTTCGTGAAGGTGAAACTCCTGGAGAGTGAGAAAGAACGCGCTTAATGTATTTCAGAGAAAATGATCTTTTACCGAATCATAGTAAAAGATATCTTGAAGCTAGAAATTAATACATTGTTTAGATGACAAACTATATGCACCTGAAATCGGTATAGCAATCTGTTCCTCGTGTAATCAGTTTAATATATATTGGATAAAGAACAAAAATATAAGCAATTATAACCACATAAGAATAGAAAAACATTTGATCTACTAATTGTACCGGAAATGAATTCTGTGGTTTATGAAAAAATATTCAAAAATTATACAAAATCTACACGTAGTAATAAAGAAAGCTATGCATTGCATCGTTATAAATTATGGCAACTCAATGCTATTAGAAAAAATTAAATGTGCTAGAGAGGTCGGAAAAAAGATTCGAGCAGTAAATATCATTAAGGAGGAGTTCAATAAATTTATAGACAGATATCAATGTGTAATTAATAACATGCTAATCTTTTTTTTTTTGAAAATTCACACAATGGCATGACGATTTTAATTATCTTATTACAGAGACACGGACTTTTAAGTAACGACAGCCACTACCATTACTAAATTAGCGTTAAAAATTTCACTAAACTTGTGCACTCTCCAAGTTTATATAGGTGGTTAGAAAATCTACAAAATCTAATCGATCTTTTCAGTTGGTTAAGCAATCTTAATTAACAATGGATGAAAAAACTCATAACGGAATTCATAGACCTCTTCAAGTATTATTAAAAGACTGTTCAGATACAACGTTTTAATGCAAAAAATATTATCTCTCATACACGTAAAAGAAATATATCACATGATAGGACAGTTGTAACTCAAAAAATACGACAAAATGTATCTCAAAAACATGGATTGGATAGTTATAGTCCGAACTAAGTGGAATATTTGTATCCCACTTCTCCGACCTTTTCAAAGATTTCATTATTGTCCTTTGTTTTTCACCACTAATTTCAGCAATTCGTTGTATTGTAATATATACAATTTTATATAAATTATATGAATTGCGTAGATAATTAGAAAATTCAAACTTCTCGATACATTAAAATACAAATTTGATTTTTTTTTTTGAAATTTTTTTAAATTAGAAGAAAATAATGATAATAACGTAACCGCTCTCAAAGGAAAAAGATAAAATATTTAACCGAGTACATTAGGATATAGGATAAAATGGTTAATGTGAAAAATACTATATTAAAAAAAAAATCACCGGATTCTGTTATAAAAGCTTTTCAAGAATCAATTTACATAATATTACAATGTGGGTATTAAATTCAATATCAAAGTTTCGGCAAATCACTTAGCTATCAACATCTTTTTTATTTCACGGCTTTAAAAAGTCATAAAGATGTTTGTTGAATATTAATAGCATGTCTGTCATTAATACAATAATCATATCATATAATGGTAGTTAAAAATGTGGAACTGAATTAGGTTTATAATAGAATTGTTATTACGGATGTTAAGAAATTAACTATTAACTGAATATACATTTTTCTAACCAATTATTAATTAATTACATTATATTTTATAACAGGTCATCGTGAGTATTATTTAGACATTCATAATAATTAAAACCTTTGCTAATCAATTTTAATTAATTGCATTATAATTTATCACAGCTTGTAAGTATTATTTGGATTTATTTAATTTCAAACTATTTATACTATTTTAACATCTAATATTATTTCATAACCTTTTTTATTAATTATTTATCACAGTTGGTAAGTATTACTTAGATTCATAATTTAAAACTATTTTAACATCTAATGATATTTCATATCTATCACAGGTGATGAGTATTTTTTAGATATATTTATAACAATTATAATAATTAAAAATCGTAATTTCAATTATTTTGATACTAGTAATATTTAACCTTTCACTGATAAATTATTAATTAATTGCATTGTAATTTATCACAGGTTGTGAGTATTACTTAGATCTATTTATAATAATTAGATTCATAATTTTAACATATTTTAATATCTAATAATATTTTATAACTTTTCACTAATCAATTATTAATTAATTGTATTTAATTTATTACAGGCAGTGAGTATTATTTATAATAATTAAAATCATAATTTTGAACTGTTTTAACATTATTAATATTTCATTAATCAATTATTCATTATAATTTACCATAGGGGATAAGTATTATTTATAATAATTAAAATTATAATTTCAACCTATTTTAACATCTAATAATATTTCATAATTAATTACACATCAGGAAATTTTTAATAGCAAATATATCCGGATATATTTGCCTTAAATTAATTCGAATATATTCGACCACCCCCGCATTTATCCGCATTAAATATCCACATATATTCGATATATCCGGATATATTTGCGAATTTATCCGAATATATTTGCATATATCCGGATATATTGCGAATTTATGTGGATTTATCTGATA